AACAATCCAACAAGAGGATATAACACTTGTAAATGTCTATGCACCCAACATAAGAGTACCTAAATATATAAAGTAATTATTAACAGACAGGGAAGGAGAAACAGACAGTAACGTAATAGTAGTAGGGGACTTTAACCCTCCACTTACACCAATGAATAGATCATCCAAACAGAAGATCAATAAGGAAACATTAGCCTTAAATGACACATTAGACCAGATGGACTTAATAGATATATATAAAACAGTCCATCCAAAAACCACAGAATGCACATTTTTTTCAAATGCACATGGAACATTCTCCAGGATAGATCACGTATTAGGCAACAAAATAAGTCTCAATAAATTTAAGAAGATCGAAATAATACCAAGCATCTTTTCTGGTCACAAATGTATGAAACTAGAAATCAACTACAGGAAGAAAATCAGAAAAGCCACAAAAATTGGAGATTAAACAAAATGTTACTAAACAACTATTGGATCAACGAAGAAATTGAAGGAGAAATCAAAGAATACCTGGAGACAAATGAAAATGAAACTATGACATGTCAAAATCTATGAGATACATCAAAAGTGGTTCTAAGAGGGAAGTTTATAGCAAGTCAGGTCTACCTCAACAAACAAGAAAAATCTCAAATAAACAATCTAACAGTGCACCTAAAGGAACTGGAAAAAGAAGAACAAACAAAGCCCAAAAATTAGCAGAAGGAAGGAAATAATAAAAATCAGAGCAGAAATAAATGAAATAGAGACTAAAAAAAGAATAGAAAAAAAATCAATGAAACCAAAAGCTGGTTCTCTGAAAAGATAAACAAAATTGACAAAGCTTTAGCTAGACTCACCAAGAAAAAAAGAGAGAAGGCTCAAATAAGTAAAATCAGAAATGAAAGAGGAGAAATTACAACAGACACCTCAGAAATACAAAAGATTATAAGAGAATATTATGAAAAGCTATATGCCAACAAAGTGGATAATCTAGAAGAAATGGATAAACTCTTAGAATCACACAACCTTCCAAAACTGAATCAAGAAGAAATAGAGAATTTGAATAGTCCAATCACCAGTAAGGAGATCAAAAAAGTAATCAAAAACCTCCCAAAAGATAAAACTCCAGGAGGAGATGGCTTCCCTGGTGAATTTTACCAAACATTCAAAGAAGATTTAATACCTATCCTTCTCAAACTCTTCAAAAAAATTGAAGAGGAGGGGAAGATCCTAACTCATTCTATGAAGCCAACATTATCCTGATACCAAAACGAGACAAGGAGAACACAAGAAAAGAAAATTACAGACCAGTATCACTGATGAACATCAATGCAGAAATCCTTAGCAAAATACTAGCAAATCAAATACAACAATACATTAAAAAGATCATACACCATCATCAAGTGGGATTTACTCCAGGGATGAAGGGATGGTTTAACATCTGCAAATCAATCAACATGATACACCATATTAACAAAATGAAGAATAAAAATCACATGGCCATGTCAATAGATGCAGAGAAAGCACTTGACAAGATACAGCACCCATTTGCAATGAAAACTCTGAATAAAATGGGTTTGGAATGAAAATACCTCAACATAATAAAGGCCATATACGACAAACCCACAGCTAATATCATTCTCAATGGAACAAAACTGAAAGCTATCCCTCTAAGAACAGGAACCAGACAAAGATGCCCAATGTCACCACTCATACTTAACATAGTATTGGAAGTCCTAGCCAGAGCAATCAGGCAAGAAAAAGAAATAAAAGGGATCTAAATTGGAAAGGAAGAAGTGAAACTGTCACTATTTGCAGATGACATGATTTTATATCTAGAAAACCCCAAAGAATACACTAAAACACTTTTAGAAATAATAAATGAATATAGTCAAGTTACAGGATACAAAATCAACACACAAAAATCAGTTGCATTTCTATACACTAACAATGAAGTAGCAGAAGGAGAAATTAAGAATACAATCCCATTTACAATTGCAACAAAAAGAATAAAATACCTAGGAACAAACTTAACCAAAGACGTGAAAGGTCTGTACACTGAAAACTGTAAAACATTATTGAAAGAAATTGAAGAAGACATGAAATGGAAAGATATTCTGTGCTTTTGGATTGGAAGAATTAGCATAGTTAAAATGTCCATACTTCCTAAAGGAATCTAAAGATTCAATGCAACCCCTATCAAAGTTCCAACAACATTTTTCACAGAAATAGAACAAAGAATTCTAAAATTATATGGATCAAAAAAAGACTCTGGAGAGCCAAAGGAATCCTGAGGGAAAAGAACAACGCTGGAGATATCACACTCCCTGTTTTTATAATATACTACAAAGCCATAGTAACCAAAGCAGCGTGGTACTGGCACAAAACCAGACACACAGATCAATGGAACAGAATCAAGAGGCCAGAAATAAACCCACACATCTATGGACAGCTAATTTTTGACAAGGGAGCCAACAACATAACAATAGAGAAAGGAGAGTCTCTTCAATAAATATTGTTGGGAAGACCGAACAGCCACATGCAAAAGAATGAAAGTAGACCATTATCTTACTCCTTCCCTACACAAAAATAAACTCAAGATGGATTAAAAATTTGAATGTAATACCTGAAACCATGAAACTTCTAGAAGAAAACATAGGCAGTATGCTCCTTGACATCGATCTTAGCAGCATTTTTTCAAATACTATGTCTGACTGGGCAAGAGAAACAATAGAAAAAATAAACAAATGGGACTACATCAAACTAAAAAGCTTCTGCACAGCAAAGGAAACCACCAACAAAACGCAAAGACAACCTAACAATTGGGTGAAGATATTTGCAAGCCATATATCAGATAAGGGGTTAATATCCAAAATATACAAAGAACTCATACATCTCAACAACAAAACAAACAACAACCCAATTAAAAAATGGGCAAAAGATTTGAACAGAGATTTCTCCAAAGAAAATATACGGATGGCCAACAGGCACATAAAAAGATGTTCAACATCATTAACTATCAGGGAAATGCAAATCAAAACTATAATGAGATATCACCTCACTCTGGTCAGAATGGCTGTAATTAACAAGACAGGAAACAATAAGTGCTGGAGATGTGGAGAGAAGAGAATCCTCGTACACTACTGGTGGGAGTGCAAACTGATGCAGCCACTATGGAAAACAGTATGGAGTTTCCTCAGAAAAGTAAGAATAAATTTACCATATGATCCAGCTATTCCACTGCTGAGTATTTATCCAAAGTCCTTGAAAACACAAATGCATAAAGATACATGCACCCCTACGTTCATTGTAGCATTATTCACAATAGCCAAGACTTGGAAGCAACCTAGATGCCCATCAAGGGATGAATGGATAAAGAAGATGTGGTATGTACATGCAATGAAACACTACTCAGCCATAGGAAAAGATGAAATCCAGCCATTTGTGACAACATGGATGGACCTTGAGGATATTGTGCTAAGTGAAATGTCAGAGGGAGAAAGTCAAATACCATATGATCTCACTCATAAGTGGAAGATAAAAACAATGACAAACAAACACATAGCAACAGAGACTGGATTAGTGGTTACCAGAGGAGAAGCGGGGAGGGAGGAGGGCAGAAGGGGTGATTAGGCTCATGTGTGTGGTGATGGATTGTAATTAGTGTCTGGGTGGTGAACATGATGTAATCTACACAGAATTCAAAATACATTATGATGTACACCTGACAGTTATATAATGTTATAATCCAATGCTACTGCAATAAAAATTTTTTTAAGTAAATAAAAAATAAAGGATAGTTGCCACGGAAAACTATTCATAAAGGAAAGGAGTTCACGGTGAGGTTAACGCAGAGCCAGAAAAGTTAAGTAGGTTGATCTTTCTTCTTCCTGCCTGTAGAAATTGAGTTGCTAAGTATTCTACAATTTTAGAACTGGTAGAGACTTTAGAAATTAATTAAGTCAATCTACTTATTTCATAAATGAACATATTCTGGATAAAAAAGGAGAAGGAAAAGGAAGAAAAAGTTGACATTTACTGGATGATAACTGATCCAGGCACGTGACATGCATAACCTCATTCAAAATCCTTGCAACTACCTTATGAACTAGGTGTGATATACATTTTACAGATGGGTAAACTGAGCTCAGAGAGGTTGTTAAATTTCCCTAGGTCACTCATCTACATAGGTCTTCGAATGTTTAGTTCTTTTCTCTGCTTACTCCAGCTGCAATGCGTACTGACAAGCTACATGGGGAAGTTGTCCTATCCAGACTTCTTGTGAAAGCTGACAGCCTCACGTGGCTGAGTTTAAGATCTCTAGACTTTTTAAATGCTAGCCCTTTACAAAATTAAGGCAGAAGAAATTCAAAATTAGATTAACTGTATTTTAAGATTGCAAAAAGTTGTCTTTCATCCTTACATTAAGCTCTGGATGTAAACGGGGTATCATTTTCATGTGAATAGGAACTATAATTTATAAGGGATGCCTTGTATTAATATCTATTTTCTTTTTAAAGCAAAGCAGACCTGATTGTCTCTCTGCACTCTCAGGCCATCCAGCTACACAAGGACCCAGAATGCCACAGTCCACTCACTGCTGCTGGCCAAGGCCCAGGTTTTAAGTGGAAATTACACACCCAACCCACCCTCATGGTGCAAAGTCAAACCCTCAGGTGAATAAAAAAATTCCATTTCCCAACTAAAACCATCCCCCCATAGTCCATGGGTAAAAACCTTCTGTAAATAATTGTGAGTTTACCGCTCACAGCCCAGTTTCTCCCAGGCCTTAACAATCTGGGCTTGTGTTAAGCTCCTGCAGAGTTCCTTCCAAGACACCAGGAAACCTAGGGCTGTGCCTCAACTTGTGACAAAAATGCAGATCAGTTTTGCCATCTGGACCAAGGCATGACCTCCGTAAAGCCGAACTCAATGTCTCTTCTCAGGAGGGGGAAAAGTGGTGATGATTAGAAATTACATGGGAGAATGAACATAGAATAGAGTGATGGTGGTCTTACCCATTGGAACCAAACAGGTACCCTCCAACGGACAAGAGAATTTTCAGTTTGGAATTCCTAGAGTAGAAGAATAAGCTAATTATTTCTCTACTGGCTGCCAGGGAAAACTGCCTAAAGGGTTTAATTCCTGATGTGAAGAATATGGATAAATGGGGCCTGGCTGCTTAGCAGCTAAATTCAGTGAAGGGATGAGGCACTGGGGAGAAGAACAGGTAGGATCAGAGTTATACCCAAGGAAATACACTGGAACAAATGAATGAATGAATGAATGAATGAATGGAGATAGTAGGCCTTAGGCCCAGTTTTGGACTACCTTCTCTCCTCCAAAACCCACCCCGGATGCTTCCCACTCCTATCCTACTCACTTGGTTTTGAGACTGTTGATGGTCTAGTAAAGCATCACATCATTCTTGTCCTTGATGATGACCTTGTTTTTACTGATGCTGGCGAACGCATAGATGAGGTGAGAACATAGGAAGGGGTCAATGTTCTCAGGGGTGAATTTTCCTGGTTCCTGCCAGTCCTGTGACCAGTTGGTAAAGTAACAAACCAGTTTGCAGGTAGATCCTGGAGGCGAGTGAAGAAAGCCAATGGGAGCCTAGTGCTGTTACCTTAGAGCCCAGAAGACCACAAGTTTCTCCTAAAACAGGCATTGCCTCCTTTGCTTATTCAGCCAGAGCCTCTGAAGGTTGCTCAGCCTGGGCCCTTGGTGCTGGCACTTGAGCATCCAGACCCAGTAAAGAAATACATCGAGAGACAGATAACATCAATATGTAAAACATTCACAGAGCACAGAGATTCAATGTGCATGGATGGATGAGTGACACAGAGAGATAAACAGAGAAAGAGATGATGCACACAACATTGAGGTAGCTACGAGAGAGAGAGATTCAAGAGATAGAACCAGAGCCATGGATGCACAATGAGATACACAGAACAAAACCTCAGAGTAATACATATGTTAGTGTCAGACCTGGGAGAGTAAACAAGAGAAAAAGAGTGAAGCAGAAACAGAAATAAACATCAGTAAGGACCCAGCCCAGGAGATCCAGGCAGTAGTGACTCATTGACTACTTACCTCCCTGCAGAAGTAGCAAGACCACTAAACCTGTAAGAGATGGGTAGGGAGAGACATCTGTTGAGCCAAACCCGGTATTTCTGTCTCAGACTGTGGCAGTGAGTGATGTGGATTAAGGCTGCCCCAGCTAGAGAAGCCCAAGGTGACCTGGCCTACGTGCCAAACTATACGACCCAGTGGACTTTTTTTATGGTATGAATTAGGACTGCCCCAGGGAGAGAAGCCCGGGGCATCCTCACCTGCATGCCGATCTATATGGCCAGATTCGTATCTAAAGTTATATGACCGCACAATAACCAGACCCCATCTGCACTGAAATCATTTAATGACTTTTTACATCATCTTTTCTTTTTTTTCCAGTAAAAATAAGTCACATACCCATGCCTTATAAAATTAGCCCTAACCCTCAACTCAGGGCAGCAGCAGGAGCTCTGACTGCCCGTGGGTCCTGTCCCCACACACCAGCTCTGCCTGCCCATGGGTCCTGTCCCCATGCCAGCGGGAGCAGCAGCAGCTGCTCTGCCTGCCCATGGGCCCTGTCCCCATGCCAGTGGGGACAGCAGAAGTGGCAGCAGCAGAAGCTCTGCCTGCCCATGGGTCCTGTCCCCATGCGGCAGCAGCAGGAGCTCTGACTGCCTGTGGGTCTTGTCCCCACACACCAGCTCTGCCTGCCCATGGGACCTGTCCCCATGCCAGCGGGGGCAGCAGCAGGAGCTCTGACTGCCTGTGGGTCCTGTCCCCACGCACCAGCTCTGCCTGCCCATGGGTCCTGTCCCTATGCCAGCGGGGGCAGCAGCAGCTGCTCTGCCTATCCATGGGCCCTGTCCCCATGCCAGTGGGGGCAGCAGAAGCGGCCGCAGCAGAAGCTCTTACTGCCCATGGGTCCTGTCCCCATGCTATTCCACACTATTCTCTAAATAAAAGAGCACTACTGCCAGATCTTGAGAGTCTAAGAAATCTTTCTTTCGACTCCTCGGCTCACCGACCCCGCATCAGTGAGTATGTGGCTGTGCTACATGCAAGGCACAGCTGCACTTCCTCTGGGCACTGCAGCCACAGCTGCTGTGGTCTCTTTACAGAGCCTTGAGACCTCCAGTCCTCGGGCCCCTGGGGACTCTACAGCCCTATAAAGAAACATTTTCCAAACTAGGAATTCATTTGTTCATGCATTTATCCAACAAACATTTATTGAATTACCTGCTCTGTGCCAGGCGTTGTCATGGATATTGGGGAAACTAAAACAAAGTTGATGCCATCCCTGCACTCAGCGGGCTCGCAGCCCAGTCTGGACTGAATATAGTTAGGGTGACCATATAGTTTATGGTCCAATGAGACACTTTGGAGAGTGAAAAGGAGCATTATTAATAATTTTCCTGGGCCACTAGCTTGGACCAGATCTGTCCTGGGTAAATTGAGATGAATCGTTACCCTATGTACAACTAACTGTTGAAACAAGGCAAGGTGAATTGAGGAGCGTAAGCTGGCTCTGCTAGCGCTCTAAGCCTGCACGTCTGAGGTCACGCCCAGCCTATTCTCTGATGAGGATTTTTAGGCTGGTTAGTTTTAAAACTACAGATGAGATTCAGGCTCCAAGGAGTGGAATTTGTTTGCCCCTTTGTTGGGAAACATTTACATTTCTAAGGGAAACCTCTATCTGTGAAGATGCCTCCCTCTCTGTGCCAGGAAGAAGGGGGGGGGATGGTCTTATCTCTAGAAGCTCTTAATCAATGCCAGAGGCAAGAACTTAAATTGGTTACTGTCAGGCAACCTCATGTAACTGAGCCCCTCCCCCCCCCAACAAATCCTCCTTTGTCTTTAGCTGAGGATAAAATTCAAGCGGTGACTTCTGCCATTTACTCAATCCGGTTTGATTCTTATCTAAAAGTTGTGGGACCGCCAAATGGCCGGACCCTACAGGCACTGATACCTCTTTAACTTTTTTACATATTCTTTGTCTTGTAAAGAGATAACTCACATACCTATGCCTTAAATTTAGCTCTAACCCTCAACTTGGAGCAGCAGAAACTCTGACTGCCCATGGGTCCTGTCCCCATGCTATTCTACTTTCTAAATAAAAGAGCACTACTGCCAGATCTTAAGAGTCCAAGAAATCTTTCTTTCGACTCCTCGGCTCACCGACCCTGCATCATTCTCCAGAAGACATCTCCTGCTAAGAGGATTGGTGTGACTATTCTGTCTTTAATTCACCCTCCTAAAGGGAAGGAGAGAACAGGACCCTGAGTCCTGGAAACTTCACCCAAAAGGCAAGACTCCTTGAACTGTAGCCCCCCCTAGCCTGGGAACATTGTCTAGACTTACTCACACTAGGACACCTTGGGGGTCTGAAAATGGAGAAAAAGGCGGTTAAAAAGGAGAGAAACGTTGGATGACACAGCTGCTAGAGCTGGTGCCTCCTCTGCAGAGTTCAGGGCTGGGGAAAACAGCTCTAGGGTTCTCTCTTGCTGATTTGCATCCTTCTTAGGCAGAGAAGGCAGGGATTCACTCCTCCACACACCCACTAAGTGGTTAGGAAAATGCTGCTTGCCACATCTATTGTCAGGTCAGCCTCCAGGCACTTCAAAGTGCTGCCTCCCTGTGGGCTACTCTCCCAAGGACCCAGGGCTAAGAACTTCAGCAGGGAACTTGAAAGGCTTCTTGCCCTTACCAAGGGGGCAGTCCTGCCTGGAAAGCATAGTCAAGATGAAAGAGGTAAGACAGAATGAAATGGCTTCTTTTCCCCCATCTCCTCCAGGTAAACTTTCCCTGTTCACTCATAGCCCTGTTTATTTAGTCTCATCCCACCTTATCCAAATTCTCAGTCACCACAAAAGCCAGTTTCGGATCAGGACTTTAGAGTTCAAAGAGGGATTTTAGAAAACATTTCATCCCACAAATCATTATACAGATGAGAAATGTGGGGCTCCCCCAAAGTTCTAAAATGTACCCAAAGCATAGCCCACGAAAAATGTGACTCTCAATACAGTGCTCATACTTCAAGAGACTAAGGAAACTTGGTCTCTTTCCTGTCTTGAACTCCAGTTCCAACGTGGGCAAGGGGCACCTCTGTGTAAATGCAGACTGAGAACACCCTGATGGCCCAAAGGACCCCGGCCACTGCTGTTCCCTTGCCCACTTAGGAAAGGTTAGACGGGTCCCTTAGGACATTCTATTAGCTCAACAGTTTTTGATACTGAGGTGAACAGGGAGACTGAGGTCCCAGGAGAGGAACAACGTTACTTCCTCCAGAGGTGTGCGTTACCCCTTCCCTTCTCATCAACTTTCCTGCTGAATGATCAGCCCCACACTCACCTGCCCAGAGAGACTTCTGGTCCATAGTGATTGCTCCCGTATCCCTGGCCAGCTTCCCCTGAGATGCACACCCTGGGCCTTTTACGCCTTTGAGGTTTCGACAGCCTGTCTTACGGGAAGGAAGTAGGAAGAAGTCCAGGAGAGTCCAAGGACTTCCCCTGCCAAATCTGCCTTGTGAAAACCTCCTGGCAATGAGGCATGTGTTTGTGCAAAGCCAATTCTTACCTGTCAGAAAAAAGCTCCAGTAGAGATAGCCGTTGAGGGTCCTTTTCCTCCAGTCTCACCCCGAAGAGACCTAGTCCCTGAAAAGAGAAAGAGGTGATACTTTGATTCGTCTCCTTATATCACTTTCGGGCCCCCAAACCTCCCTTCCCCATCCTCCAGGATCTGCCTCCTCCTTCTTTCCCTCACCTCTGTCATTCAATCAGACTCTGCTATCGTGCCACTTGGTCCCATCCAGCAGCTATTCTTCACCTGATACTTCCAAATGACTCCTTCTCTGTGGAGACTTTCTCGCTTCCCCCTAGGCAGGCTTGGCTGGCTCCTCTGCTCACAGTGCATTCAATTCTTTTCATGTCTCCACATTGTACTGTAATGCACTGGTGTATATGTCTATCTCCTCAACTTGACCGTGCAGCTCTTAAAGACAAAAACTATGTGAAACAAGAAAAACAGGCCATGCTGAGGCCGTGTCCCACATAGCACAACCAGAGGGACCTACAACTGGAATATACAACCTATGTACTGGGGGCTTTAAAGAGAAGGAGAAGGAAAAAAAATTGGCATCAGATGTTATCTCAGGTGCCAAAAAAACCCACCAAAAACCTCAACAGATATTTATTGAGGATCCTCCCTTAAACTGTTAGAATTGAATTGCACCCCACATTCACAGATTCAGATTCTCAAGGCCTGCATGACCTGGTCCCTGCCTAACTCCCCCATCCCCTTTCACATAACTGGCTCTCTCTGTGGGTGTTTCTCTGTCTCTCACTTTTCCTGTCTCTGTTCTCTCACTCTACATTAGTCCCATGAGCCTTCTCTCAGACCTTGAGCCTTCTGACATGCTGATTCTCATATATCAGATGTGGGCCATGTGGAAAAAAATAGCCTGGATCCATTTTCAATCCTACCCAAGGAAAGAGCAGTGGCACCCCAGCAGAGAAAGCCTGCTGTTTGGAAGGCATATCAGAAAAGCAGGGGCTGATGGGAAGCAGTGGCTGGAGGAAAATGCATAAATACTGTCAGGAGGAAAAAATGTCAATTTAAAACATCTGCCAGGCCCTGGAGGCAAGAAGCCCTCTTAAGACCATACCAGTTAAGTCACAACTCTCCTGTCTTGCCACTGCTCCCTCTCCCCTTACTTTGACTAAAGCTGGTTCAGAAATCATAACAGCAAGATGGAAAACGAGGGGCTGGCCCCGTGGCTGAGTGTTTAAGTTCTCGCGCTCCACTTCGGTGGCCCAGGGTTTCATTGTTTCGGATCCTGGGTGCGAACCTAGCACTGCTCATCAGGACATGCTGAGGTGGCACCCCACATAGCAGAACCAGAAGGACCTGCAATTAGAATACACAACTATGTACTGGGGGGCTTTGTCAGGGGGGAGAAGGAGGAGAAGAAGGAGGAGGAGGAGGAGGGGAGGAAGAAGAAAAGATTGGCAACAGATGTTAGCTCAGGTGGCAATATTAAAAAGAAAAAAAGAAAGAAAGATGGAAAATGAGGGGGTGGGAGGATAAAGCAGGGAAAGAGAAAAGGAAGCCAGGCTGGGGAAGCACAACTGATTTAACACACGTTCAAGCTGGGAGTCTTGGTTGTTACCTGGGACTGGCTAGTAAACCGAGATTGAGTTTTCATCTTACACTGACTATAGAATGTTCATTTCCTCCAAGTCAGCAGAAAAATCCAGGGACAGGCCAGAACCATCCCCACTAAGCAGCAAACTTAAAGGGACAGTTGGAGCCAAAAATGAAGTGGCTTTGATGATTCCACCCCTTAGTTCAATGTACTGGCCACACTTGTTCACCTTTTAAGAAATCTTATATGTAAATAGGAGCTTAATACATTCATTTTCTATACTTTTTCCCCACATGATATACTTTAGACATCCTTCCAAATCAGCCCTTATTTACTTCATTCTTTTTACTAGCTTCACAACAATTCATCCTATGGCTAAACCATCATTTACTTAATCATTTTCTACTGATAAACATTTAGCTTGTCTCCAGATGTTTTCATTATTTAAAACAATGCTAAAATGAACATCCTTAAAAACAGGTGCTGTTTATGCGTGTATGAGTCTGTCTATGGGAGAAATCCCCAGCGATAGAATGGACGGGTCAAAGGAATTTTGAGAGCTACTGTAAATCTGCCTCCCGAAGAGCGCGCACATCGTTCAACTGTATCTTTGCCAGCCTGGTACGTGACAAACGTTACCTCATTCTTTTAATTGGCATTCTTTTAAATGAGTGTTATTGTTTAATTTTATGAGTCATTTGTATTTCTTTGTCAGAGCACTGCCTGTATATGTTCTTCGTTCACTTTTCTATTGAACTTTTGCTTTTTATTTGGAGGAACTCTTTTTTTTTAATTTAAAGATTGGCACCTAAGCTAACATCTGTTGCCAATCTTCTTCCTTCTCCTTTCCCTCCCCCTTCTCCTTCTCCCCAAAGCCCCCCAGTACATAGTTGTATATTTTAGTTGTGAGTGTCTCTGGTTGTGGCACATGGGATGCCGCCTCAGCACGGTCTGTGGCCATGTCCACAGCCAGGATCTGAACCAGCGAAACCCTGGGCCACGGAAGCAGAGGGCATGAACTTAACCACTCGGCCATGGGGCCGGGCCCCCGGAAGAACTCTTTATACATAAATAAATTAGCCCTGTCTTTATCTATTAAATAAATTAGAACTTTCTCAAACGTGATGCAAATATATTTTCTCAGTTTATTTATTTTATTCTCTTTATGGTACTGTTTTTTTTTTTTGAGGAAGATTAGCCCTGAGCTAACATCTGCTGCCAATACTCCTCTTTTTGCTGAGGAAGACTGGCCCTGAGCTAACATCTGTGTCCATCTTCCTCTACTTTATATGTGGGATGCCTGCCACAGCATGGCTTGCCCAGTGGTGCATAGGTACGCACCTGGGATCCAAACCTGCGAACCCCTGGCTGCTGAAGTGGAACGTGCAATCTTAACTGCTACGCCACCGGGCCAGGCCCTCTTTATGATACTTCTGTCTATAGTGTTTTAAATTTATATGTGGTTAATAATCAGTCTTTTTTTCTGAATGAGTTCTGGCTTTGGTGTCTTGCTTAAGCAAACAAGGCTTTTTAACCCAAGATTTCATTTTTAAAAATCACATGTTTTCTTCTAATACTTTGTGATTTATTTTTTACATTTTAATCTTTGACCTCCATGGAATTAATTTTTTTAAAACAATGCATGTGGATCCAGCTTTTTTCCCCCAAAGTTAGCTTCATGCTTCAATACTATTTATTAAAAAATAAATAATTATTTTTATGCCTTTTCCCTACTGATTTGTTTTTTTTATTGCAGTAACATTGGATTATAACATTTTATAGCTTTCAGATGTACATCGTAATATATTTTGAATTGTGTGTAGATTACATCATGTTCACCACCCAAAGCTAATTATAATCCATCACCACACATGTGAGCCTAATCACCCCTTTTGCCCTCCCCCCTCCTCCCTTCCCCTATGGTAACCACCAATCCAATCTCTGTTGCTATGTGTTTGTTTGTCATTGTTTTTACCTTCTACTTATGAGTGAGATCATGTGGTATTTGACTTTCTCCCTCTGACATTTCACTTAGCACAATACCCTCAAGGTCCATCCATGTTGTCAAAATGGCCAGATTTCATAGTTTCTTATGGCTGAGTAGTATTCCATTATGTATATATACCACATCTTCTTTATCCATTCGTCCCTTGATGGGCACCTAGGTTGCTTCCAAGTCCTGGCTATTGTGAATAATGCTGCAATGAACATAGGGGTGCAAGTATCTTTACGCATTCATGTTTTCAAGTTCTTTGGATAAATACCCAGTAGTGGAATAGCTGGATCATATTCCCTACTGATTTGAAATGCCACTTTCAGGTGGAAAACTTATTTGGGTGAGTTTCTTTATTCTCTGTGCCTATATTCTGTTCATTGATTATCTGTGTGTTTTAACATTGTTGTACATTTCATATACACTTTTGTTTCTGCTTTTAAAAATATGTAACATTATATTATAACCTATATATTTCCTGAGAACATTTTCTTTTGCATGGGTCCGTATCAAAAGGGGACCTCCCAGATGAGTTAGATGTGAATTATAGCCCCCAAATAATTCAGTAAAACAAATTGTTAAATGGAGTCTTTTTGTGTGGTGACAGAATCATAGAATATTAAAGCTAAAGTTCATCAGGCCATGTTGTAGATGAGGACAGGGTGCACCAAAAGCAGGAGTTTTAAATTTGGAGTCATTGATACTGAGTTGACCTTTCATATACTAATTGATCAACAGGTTAACCTAGTCCTTGAAGCCAAATCCGGATCAAGAGAGGATCAGGACGGAGAAGGATGCAACTTGGATCCTGAGAGCAGGGCAGGATGGAGAAGGATGCTTGGCTTTCCCTTTGGTGCCATCAGAGAAAGAAGCTTCATAATTTCCATATTTTCTTTAACAGTCATGTACTGCTTTTGTGATCAGAAAGAAAGCACGATAAATGTCACTTTTTAAAGTGTTTGGATGTGCCCTGGAAAAAGATAATGCTTAAAAATTTATCTGTGAATTAGAGAAGAACTTGGGCTCAGTTTTTTTGTTGTTGTTGTATTTTATTTTTACATATAAAAAGCTGTACATCATTAATGTGTACAACTTGATGAGTTTGGAGATAAGTATACATTTGTGAAACCATCACCTCCAAAAGTTCCCTCTAGCCCTCTTATTATTATTATTTTGTGATAAGAACACTTAGCATAAGATCTACTCTTTTAAAAAAATTTTAAGAATACAATATTGTAAGCTATAGGATATACTGTACAGTAGGTCTCTAGGACTTATTCATCTTGTGTAACAGAAACTTTGTACACTT